CTCGACGTTTCGACGCCATTCTGGTCGTCATCCTCAGGATTTTGGTTGAATCTTGGTTGGAAGCCACTAATAACCAAGATTCAATCAAAATCCTGAGGATGACGACCAGAATGGAGTCGAAACGTCGAGAAGAAACAGAAATATGTGAGTCAGACAGCCCAATAACACAATAAAATACTCTTTTTTTATTGTGAAAACAGATTTTTTTTTAAATATGCTCGTGTAAACGAAGAACAAGTTTCCCTTGACAAGGAAAAATTGCCTGTGTCAATGGTCAACAAGTTTTCCTTGACAATTTGTCCTTGCCACATTTTCCTTGTTGTCCATTTACACGAGCAAATTTCGTCCTTGACAATTTTTCCTTGTCAAGGAAAAGCGAACATGTTGGCTTTTCCTTGACAAGGAAAAATTGTCAATTTTACCCCATTTACACKAGCGATTTTTCAAGGAAAACTTGTCAAGGAAAAACTAGTTACTCGTGTAAACGGCGCTTAAAGGTCCATAAATTGTTGTTGGACAAATGGATGGCGCATAATCGATTAGAAGATGGATACATGCATGCATGAATTGTTGTGYGAATTTATAACTGGCAAAATACAAAATGAACTTAGAGTGAATATTTTCAATGATATTTTAGTACAATCTCGTGCCAAGAAGGTGTTTTAACAACATTTGGGGAGACCACAGGTTTTTGTGCGGAATGTTTCACGTATACTAGTGCACTATTATCAATTCAGATACAATAGATATATTTCACCCTGTAGTCCAGTCCATAAGTGATGGTTTATTAATATAATGCTATATAATATCTCGTTATTGATTAGTGTACATACCGTAATCCTGTGGAATATAAGTCAAGAAATACAAAATATTTATTTTCATTATCACACAGGTTGTATGCGACAGTTTTACAGTGTAAATCAACCTTTAGATACTTGTAGGCTTGATTTACACGATGCAATTCGTGTTGTATGAACATGACGCACGCAGGTTGTATGCGAGAGTTCTAGACAAAAGTTGTAGGCAGTTGTAGTGGAATTTTGTAACTTTCTTTGAGCTTGTTTTTTCCCGCGTATTCAATTCCATCAGTATTCCCTGACCTCAACTTTGTTGTGATGTTTTATTATTTTCTGCCATGTTTGTTCTCAAGGGGATATCAAAGACAACTTCAAACAGAAATTATGACATATCTTAACTTTGTTATGGTCTTTAGGAAAGACAAGACAGGAAACAAGAAGACAACCAGGGAATGTTGGAGCTCCGCTGTGGCTCGTAAAACAGAGAATCAAACTCGAGTTTTCATTTTTACCGTCTTCCATTCCCTAACAACCTTAACAAAGTTATGGTATTTCAATGTCAGTTTCTGCCATGTGGTCTTGGGTTGTCAGTCCCCGAACACCTTGTCTGTACGGGGGGTAGTGCTGAGAAATTATGAAATATCTTAACTTTGTTACGGTCGTTAGGAAAGACAAGACTCAAAGTACCAGGAAATGTTGGTGCTGTGTGGCACCAAGACAGAAAACTGAGTGTCAGGATCGAGTTTGCTTTCATTTTATCGCGTTTTCATTTCCTATTATCCTTCATAAAGCAAGAAATATCAATTCTTGTTTATATTAGCTTTCAAAATATGCAGAAAGTTCTTTTTTTACATACACCCGGCCCTTCATCGTCTGGTTCGCTCAGTTGGTCCATGGGGTCCACCTTTCGCTAATTACTAAACATTGCTATATGAATTGATACAGCAAACAGGACAACATTCASTTGTTGGACACAATTGACAACGAAAGTACTGTCTTTATCTCTTGTGAAAATAACTTGAAATCAAAGGTAAGTGATTAACATCTGTTAAGAAAGACAATAGTATCACCATCTTTCTTATTTTAAAGTAACATTTCTTTCGAACCGAGGACGTTTTTGAACAGCAGAGGAAGACTTGCCCTCAACTTCATGCATATTTCCGAGGAAAAACATCCATTCGCCTTTTAAGAAATACACATTTGAGAGCACACGATGAATCATGCTTGACATTTTGCCACATGTTAACAAGCGTCCATCATTACTAAATAGAGGATATTACATGGGCGATATAGATTTTATCTTGGGGGTGTTGAAAAGATTTTCGCCACAAGAAGATAAWATTYGTATCTTCAAGCGACCATGTAATATTCTGTTTATTATATTAATTATACATGAAAGAAAATCATGCTTTAGGATAGCCCTTATTTATCTCCAATATATAACAAAAAACAACTTTACGTAATGGATAAATATAGGTATTTTAAAAATAATTATATGATAAATAAATTATTATAAACACAAAACAGCAGCAAAAGTTTAAATATATCTTTATTTAATGGTAACATGTTATTTTCACGTGTGGAAGATATCACTTTTTCGCGCGAAAGATACACTGGTATTTCATAATGATTTATATAATAAAAGTCTTATTCAAATCTATTTTCAGATCCGAAATGAACCGTTATCTGTTGGTGTTTCTGGTCGTAGCGTGTTTGGTTGCAGGCAGTTGTGGACGGCGTCCTCCGGGCTTTAACCGTCGAAACGACGACCGTGACCGCCATAGTAAGTCTACTTGTCGATATGAATTATCTGTTTAGCAGCAGCTGGTTTCTAATAAGCTTTAAATAACCAAGCTTTCGGATTATATCATCTTCACCGGTTGAAATAGAAAAACAAACTAATGCATCTGGCATATTTTTTGGCGCATGGGCAGCATGTAGTAGTCTCGAAATAAAAAACTTTGGAATTCAAACAGAATCGTGCATTTGCGTGGTACGTCTATGGTGTAGTAAAGATGTTTTTGATTTCCATCAAAAATCCTGGTTATATAGATGCTTACGACGTAAGCCGGAAGTGAATTGAAAACAACAGCAAACAATGGTGCTTTTAAAAATGGCAAAAATCAAGGGATTCCCTTCACCTGAATTCAAGAAAAATTGCTTGTCAGTAGGAAAAGTACATTTCCTTGCTTCTTGTTTAATTCAATAAGAATATTTTTCAATCCATAAGCTACTTTCGGTTTATGTCGTAAGCATGTGTCAAATGCTGAATATTTTTTTTCTTCCTAGTTGAAGGACGGCTTGCGGCTGTCTTGAAAAGGAGCGACGAATGTGAATGTCCGAACGGACAAGAAGGATTCTGGTCATGGGGCTGCCCGAATGGGATGCCAGATTGCAAATCACTACCAGGAGACCCAAACATCAAATGTTGTTACCGGCCATAATTGAAGAAAAATAAAATACAATCCACAAATTAAATGGTATTGCAATCTACGAGTTAAATAGTATCACAATCCACAAGTTGTTGAATGCTAAAATAATGAACTTTACACAAAATAATGACATATAAATAAATAAGTGGTATAGATACATTGAATTGTTGAGTTCCTTTTTAATGTCTATGCTTGAAATGTGAAAACAGTCATAAATTGGGTCAGTTTCCCTGAATACCAAATTCTATTGACTTCCACTCTACATGGAGAGAATAAGGAATTTCTCAAGAGGATGGGAGGATAAACAGAGTTCCCCCACCCCTACCCCCACCCCTTGTATCCACCCCTGATATCTTACAAGAAGTTATCAATCTATGTTTTCGTGTAACGCTGATATGAAGATGTCGTCTCGAGGTATTGTAAACGCTACTTTTAGATTGAGAACATTCAACCCGAGAACTAAACCTTTTATTTATTCAAATAGACAAAGTTTCCAGAGATCGTGGTTGTACGGAAAATCAATTTTAAAAGAAAAATCACCACAAAATTGAAAAACAAACATGTCAAGAATCGATAAAAATATTATTTATAAAGGACAACCAGCTGGATTTATTCAACTGGAGTTCCCACCTTTTGTATTTTTAATTAATTCCTTTTCGTTGATAAATATTATTTTTATAATATTACGTTATATAACCTCGCTATTGTAATTAGTTGAACTTCTCTTGAAGCAATTAATGACTGTAGCGAGACGATAGAAACTGCGCAATGATGAACAACCCCAACATATTACTCGGCAACGTCTCGAACATGAGTTCGGTAAACAACTACTACTACTGCAAGTATTGGGTACCAGATACAGATTTAGAATTAACGGCCAAACGCACTGCCTTCGTACTGGTCACTGTACTTGGGACTATTTTAAACATCTTTGTCATCATACTCGCTGCTAAATTCACAGTGCGCAAGAACCTGCATTATYTGATCATCAACATGGCYGTCTCAGATGCTCTATTTCTCCTCATGAAGCTATTATCGAAAATAATTGYATGGCTAAACGAMGATAAATTGACGAAMATTTATTCTAGCGGTACATTGGGTGTTTTTATCTGTAAAGCGAAAGATTTCCTGCACGAAATCTCATTTAGAGTCTCATTGATCACTCTATTAGTAATCAGTATTGGACGATTMAGAGCTACAAGACAAACTTTGCAAAGATCGGGTCGTTATACACGTAAATATCTCATGGCAGTGCTCTGTGGATCATGGGTGATTCCCATGACATTGGCTTCCTGTAGCGCGTACTTGGTCAAAGTGGGCACAAATTCATGCGGTCTCTCGATTAGGGTACTTAAGTCTTACCCAGTAATACTATACATTTTTGCACTTTCCGATACGTTAATGTTCTGCTTATGTTGTGTGATATTTATAATCAGCATTGTAACAATCAAGCGACTGTCAAGACCTAACGAAATCGAAAACCATCTTAACGAACAACAGCGAAACATGCGAAAACGTCGCACTCAATCAGCTGTACGAATGGTTCTCGTATCTGTCTTACTCTATACATGTTGCTGGCTTTCTGCTTTTGTATACAGGGTTTGGCACTATATCTATATTATAATACCATCTCTGGATAGAAACGTCTGTTATTGCTGTATAGATTGGATGTCTTTATCCTACGTAATTTGGTATTTTTTGCCTGTCGTTAACTCGTGTTTCAGTCCTTGTATATACATCATATTTCTGTCTGATTTCCGCGAAGCCGCTAAGAAAGCACTGAGTCGAGGAGTGGCATTGAACCAGGCACCAATTAGAAGAAACAGAATTAACCCCATTGAACTACAACCACTGCCTAACCATACAATACAGCTAAATAGAGTCTAGCATGTCTAGATGATGATGATGATGATAGTAGTGATGATGATGATGATGATGATGATGAAAACTAGTCAAATAATGTCGCAAACCAAACCGATTTTGTCAGTTTAACCGTGAAAGACAGAGGAACAAAAATTAAACTTTAGATATTTAAACAACATGAAACAGTCAAACAGTTTTCGACTTTGTACACAGATAATTGCAGTTTGTATTTAGACGCCACTTAAAATATAAAAATATTGTATTGCTGTATATTAATGTTATTAAACTGGGAAAAATGTGACGTGATGCTACGTCATGTGACGTGATGCTACGTCATGTGACGTGATGCTACGTCATGTGACGTGATGCTACGTCATGTGACGTAGCTAAGGTCGAAAGGGAACATAGAAAAGAATGCTTTGTCTCATACACATTTAGCCATAACCTGTCTAACCGGTTTGTCAGTTGAAAGCTATCCCAGTTTTACAGGTTTAATCAATCAGTTTCGTGGGATGTTCTTCAKTCATCTGAGAAGGCTTGCCAATTGTCTTCAAGCTTTGATTGAAGCATACTACGCATGCGCGCTCTGGCACACAAAACTTGTGGAACACATGACCTATAAACCAAATCACAATGMTCAATACTGTCCCACATTGAAGAAAGAGTCTGAAAATCACGTAAGACACAGATATCCCAGGTACGTACCACATTCAAACACTAATAGACCTTGATTGCTTGAGGAAACTTGTTCGCCGAGCTGAAGCGTACATACTGGACAAGAAGCGCTGTGAATTACATTCAGATGAACAATAAATTAAAGGAGTTTTTTCTTGTTTTTTTTTTTTTGAAAAGAGATCAGGAGCCAGTTGTACAAATGGTGAATCATTTTATGACGTCATGTGAATCATTTTATGACGTCATGTGAATCATTTTATGACGTCATGTGATGTTCACTGAGATGCACTATGGGATCGACGAAAGGACAAGCAAATTCATGCTATTCTACCTGGTTGTTTATCTATACGAATAGCTCAGACCATCACAGACTGGTCTTTACAACAATCATATTTAATGTTCTTTTAAGTAATCCTCAGCAAAGGGACAGTGCGAGTACAGAAACGTTGTCGTCCGCAGTCATGCTAAAAAAAAAACTGCCATCATTTTTTTTTGTCGATACCATGATGCACTGCGCCGAAACATGCCATGACGTCATAAGATGAGAGAACTACTACGTCATGTTATACATACTCAGCAAGTTGGATATTCACGCCCCAATTTGTTGCTGGAAAAAAGACACGAATAGTCGATTTTAAATATTTTGCACAAAAGAAATTGCAGACGAGGCTCGACATGAAATTAAATGATACATCAAGATTATTTCTTTTTTCCAGGAGCCTCGTGTGCAGTCCTGTTATACATATAAGCCTATTTCACAAGTACATGTAATATAATAGAGCGAAGTAATTAAACCTGTGAAACAACATTTGACTTGACCTTGATACAAAAGAAAAACCCGTGAAACAACATTTGACTTGACCTTGATACAAAAGAAAACATTGCAATAGTCTCCTTCGCGGTTACATGCGCCTTTTGAAAGGTAGCCTTGCCTTTACAACGAAGCGAGACAACCGTTGAGCTTACACAACAGATACCTGTAAACAATTGTCTGCAGGTTTGAAAGAAGGTTTCTATCATTGCAAGCTCAACGGTCGTCTCGCTTCGATATAAAGGCACGGCTACCTTTCAAGATGGCGCAGGGAACCGTGAAGAAGAGCGTACTAMGATGTATACACTAGTTTACCGCTAGTTCCCACCACTAAGATGCATAAGTGTAATATCTATTTCAAGTTTTTTTTTACTCCTTTCTAAAGCCCTTAATACCTGAATCCTCCAACGTTTTATGTTGTGAAATATCCCCGACTTCAGCTGATGGAATAATAACCTAGAAATATTAGAGGAAGAAGATCAGAAAAGAAAAGAGAAGAAGAGGAAAACGAAGAATAAACAGCCTTAAAAATAAAAACCAGAATTCATGCTTCACATCTTGTACCTTATCCAAGCTCTTGTTTTGTTCTTGAAGTCTGGAGAAATTCATCTGATAAAAAACGGTTGTTACTATCAAAAAGAAACTACTTGACAATGACTCCCCTATAAAGAAATATATAGCGGAATACACTTCCACTAWAACGTACTCTTAGTATAATATCTTATATAATGGCTTACCTGCGGAGTTAGAACTCCAGCTCGTTTGGACCACAAGTACGTGTCAACTGTTGTCAACATACCATGAACGAGTTTACTATTGACAAATCAATAAAAAAAACTATAATTATTAATATTCTCAATAACACTCCTCGTAAGCAGTAGTATTCCTCACGGTTCCCTGCAGCATCTTGAAAGGTAATCGTGCCTTTGCATCGAAACGAGACAACCGTTGRGCGTGCAATGATRGAAACCTGTGAATAATTGTCTGTAGGTGTGAAAKAAGGTACTGGATTACATTTCAAGATGGCACAGGGAACCGCTAAGGACACTATTCCTTTTTCTGGCAACAGCTCCTGCTTGCCACGACTGAAAAATGACCCTAAGATTACATTAAAAAAAGGACGTGGACCATGAATCATCTAACTACCTTTGCTCCTTCTCAATAATGACCCCCAGAATGCACTTGTAATAGAAATCCACAGGAAGGGACATTCCACTGAAAGGKTCATCATTCATTAGGTTCACCAGTCGTGAGGCCCCAAGCTGTTTTAGTGCCATATAAGCAACGTTTTCCCAAGTCATATCAGGCGTCCAATCAGAGTCCTTGCTGAAGTCACATGATTGTTTGTGGTCAAGGCGCTTTGAATGTGAGACAACTAGTTCCAGTAATGCTTTCCAATCATCCAGTGATTGAAGASTTGGACCTGGAATCATTGCAMAAGACTTTGTTAGAAAAGGTATATKCAAACTTTGGTTAGGAGGAAGGTAGGGACTGGGAATTCGAGTAGAGGTTGTCGTATGACTTCCAAATATGGATGTCCATATGCATGCCTCTGGGAATTTTGAGCCTAAAMCTCAGATTGAAGAAAGCTGGCATAATTACCATAAGATGATTCATKGTGAAGCAAKGTTGTRTCACCCAAACAAACAATCGTTTGTAAAACAATCTGCTTGTATCCTTTATGACAGCAAAGACGTATAAATCCTGGCCAGTACCTGGAAATGGAACAAAAAAAGTATGCAACAAACCTATTTTTTCCTTTGACTGAATGTAGTAGGTCTACCGGGTAATAACAACACTGACAGTGAGACTGCTGACCAGCAAGAATTCTTTTGCACAGTGTATTGATTTTTTAAGCTCACCCATGTTTCCAGCACAAGCTTATGAATAAATCCATCATACGATGGTCACACTTCTCTAAAACAAAATCCAGTATTTCCTKTAAATGGTCCTCATGTTTCCATGACAACCGATGGGATCCTGGCCTGAAATTTTAAACGTAATTAATTTTCATTTTATTTTTTTGAATACAATGATTGTATTTTGAGTACAATGGTGTATAACTACGACATAATAATAGAGAGTTTTAGCATCACGTTAACGGCAAACGGCTAACGGCAGAGCTGAACCAATGACCTAAGAATTTCGTACCCGACCTTGTGCTTTTGGTTGTCATTTGAAAGAGCGGCTTTTCACGATTATGGAAACCTTAAACTAACCCGCTCTCGCGTTGAAACTGCAATGTTAAACTCCAAAAAAGCAGATCCCGGCACGTGATCATTTCTGCCGTTTGCCGTGAACGTCATGCTAAACCTCTCTAATGATAATATCACTGGTGACGCCAGCAAATGTTTTTGTTACCTTGGTAATCCACATTGGCAATGCTGCTGACCTTCAGGATTGCTGGCAGCTAAAGCATTGTGGAACCAGGCGATAKTGAATTCTCTGTCTTTCAAAAGGGTTTTTATGATCTTTGATCTAAAGAGATTACATTTATATATAAGATTGAAAAGCCTGTGAAAYATGGTCTTGGTTTTTAGTATGACTTGARGACGAGTCCTCAATCTCTTCTTTTGTTGGGCTTCCTGTCCCTCCTAAATGAGACCATTTACAAACAGCATCTTCACTATTTCTCAGTTTAGATAACATCTCAGAATCTTTGCTGCAATGATCATTGGGTAAAATTTCACCTTTTTTCTCTGAGGTTTGTTCTCCATCTCATAAGCTGCTCCACATAATACATAAAGTACTGGGCATTAGCAMGGAGGTCATGTGACTTGCTTTGACGACACATTTCCATGATTTCCCATGGCAACACATCAGGGTACATTCTTGCACAAGTCATGAGAGTCTCTCGTCCATTCTTCTCATACAGACTGAAAGAAAATTTTTATAATGAAATGTGAATGGGAATCCCATTTTTGCTATCATCTATTTCCTATTTCTTCCATTTCTTACTTGTTCAAATGTAGCAAGAGAACGTTGTCATACTCCTGTATCCCATCATGCAACACATGTAGCGCTCGAGTCACATGACCGTCTTTTATGTGGTGGCTGACGTTATCGAGTTGTGAATATTCTACAAACACAAGCAAGAATTTAAGTAGCCTGCATGTAATATTTTTTTAAAGAATTATAATAGTTCCATGCCATTCAAAGTACTTTTACCAATTATCTTAATGCCGAGGCCACTGATTAAAAACCTATTGAATAACATTTCACCATTTTTAACATTTCACCATATTTTAAGAAAATATATGTTCAAACTTGCCTTTCAAACAGTCAAGTAATGYTTCCCACGTCCTCATCTTTATTCCATGTTTTAAACCAAGTGTACGACGGATATCACAAACTTTTAACAACATAAAACAATTCCTGATAAATGTAGCTCGCTTCAAGTCTCTTTCAATTTCAATTTCATCAGTTTTTATTGAAAGTGAACTTGATAAAAAATCATGAAATTCAGAAGCAAAATGCTTTGTACACAGTGCACATGTCCATGAGTTTGTTTTCCTTTCTGACAAGAATCTATTTCCTATATCATGACTTGTATTTCTACTGTGTAAAAGCCTGTCTTGACCATCTTGATCTGCAGTGTTTTCAAGTTCATTTTTCTCATATAGTGAGCTATTATACTCTAATAAAGTAAMAGATTCTTGGCTTTCCCTTTCTCTAGTGCATGGACTATCCTCTAAACCTTCTAGACCATCTTGATTTTCATTGCACAAATCTTCGTTTTTGCTCTCAACATGTTGTTTCAAGTGAACACCACAAGTCGAATCACAATGGAAACGTGTTGTACTATGTGTCGTATTTTCAAAGTTACTTTCAGTATGTTTCTTGTCATCRCTACTGCAATAAACCCCAACATCAAAACACATCTTTGTCAAAACACAAACACTGTTAAATGTTTCTTTGCCCAGCAAAYTTGTCAACATTTCAACTTGAGTCTTTGAGTTGCTTGGCAGTAAAACTGGTGTTGAGTCTTGTAGGTCAACAGTTGACGATGTATTTGGGTCAAGTGGTGAGGCATGTTGTTTTGTATTTTCATATAAAGAAGAGTCTTTAATTGATTGTAGTGCTTTGAAGAGTACAGGAATCCATCTTTGTAGTACATTATGTAATGATGGACGACTGAGCAATATTTGTGGGGAATGAACTTCTTCCCTAAAATGTACATCAAGATAAARAAGTTATAATTAGTTTCATATTTATATATTAATATATATTAATCCATTACAGCCTTTTGAAAAAATTATGAGAATTGTCGAAATATCTAAATATCATAATATCGAGTGCATGATGGGTAATCCCGCGCGATGCCCTTAGTCCCTTGTCTTTGTAGTTTAGGGGTTTTTTTTGGCGACAGACTTATCCGTAGTTCTGAACATTTTCTCGATGTCAACAATGAATTATTCTAGCAAACCCGCGTGTTCCGGACAATATATGGATATGGATATTATGATATTTAGATATTTACTAGACAATTCTCATAATTTTTGCAAAAGGCTGTATTTATCAATATATCTGGTCATCACTTTATTCATTTGTTCATCCAATCATTTGTTCATCCATCCAGAGAATACTTACAGTAGTGCAGAGTATATTTAGAGTCGTACAGAGTATAATCTTCATTTATTTATTCATGCATTTAATGGATTGCTCAATCAATACCTGACTTTAACTGTTATCTTTCTGAGTTCTTCAACTTCAACACAGCAAGGTATCTCAACAGAATCTTCCTCCTCGAGATCACTYTCTCCTMCTTCTCCCKTCAACACCTTTTCTTTCATCCCAGTTTCTTCCTCCTTAAACTCAGCAGGCAAAGACTGGGTCCTAGTAACACTTTGGTGCTCTGYACCAGTCTCTTTCAACTTTCTTTTGATGACTTCCTTTGCTTTAGAAAGCATGGCTGGAATGGCTGGTGGAAGCTCTGAAGGGATGTCATTCAGTCTTGGSGACACTATTGGTGATACAGGAGAGTCCCACTCAATCTGGGCCCTGTTAAGTTCAGTAAAGGAGACAAATTGTGATGCAGTATTTCCATCGTTTGATTTTTTGTCTGAAATAAAAGAGCAACAAAGAGGTCTTTAGCATTTGAGCCAAACTATGTATTTCTTGTAGAATATTTTACCTGTTTTGGGAGTATTGATATCAACYGTAACTACTTTCTTTTTCTTCTTTCTTCTTACTTTCTCCTTGTCTTTCCTAACATCGGATACATACATGTACATGTATACAACATTAAAAAAATTGTACTTAAAGACTAGAATGATTCATAATTGTTTTATTGCTACAAGATGCTCCTTGATAAAGTTGAGCACTTTTTTGAAAACATTTTCGATAATTTTAAGTTGTATACAACATTAATAATTTTTTGACATTTTGTTGACAGATCAAATGCATATGGATGAATAGATGAGAAAATGGATGGCTGAATGAATGAATGAATTAAGGATTCATAAAACACATGGATGGATAATAATAAWAACTATTGTTAATTTAGTAAGTTATTTTTGTCCTCCTTTGTATCACTTACTTTACATCTAACACATCATCATCCCCTCTTGATTCATTATCAGACTCCACTTCCTGCTGAAGCACATCCTTAGCAACCACCTTGTTGCTAGGGTCACACTTGGTATCTAAGGCCCCTAAATCAGAATTTACTTCAAGCTCCTCTGTGAAAGGTCCCTGTTGGCTCTGTTGTAATTCATTTTTTTCATCACTTGGCTTTTGAACCTCAGAATCAGCAGATGAACGCCGAAATGTTGGGAAATTGAATTTCCTTTTTGAGCGCCTTTCCTCTGCRAACCTTTTTGCTTTACTGGCAACAGAAAAGAGTGCGTTCTCAAGGGAAAATTCACTGCCCTTACTCTTTGCATCGGCTTGGTTGACTGACAGGTTGTCGTCATCTTCCAATCCTGAGTCCATGTGGTGACTGACGACATCACTATTCAAACTCATTGTCTCTGGGCTGTCAATCACAGTGTTATCACCATAGAAACCAGGAGGTCTTTCCAGGCAAAGATTTGTGTCTTCTTGTAGAGATTGCTGAAGCTCTTGAAKAGCATTAACTAACTCCTGTTGTGTGCAATAAAAAAAAGATTACCTATATATAGCTATATATATTTATTGAAGAAAACAATTTTGCAATGTCGTATGGTATATTCAAAAGGCTGTGATCAGAATTTCTTGGGAATTTTTAAAACACTACYTTTTACCTCAGTTTTTTGTTGCCCCTGGAGACTTGTGATAAGTGATGTAACCATAGAAACAGGGACCCAGTCCCTTGCAGTTCCAGGAATGAGATATGAACTACACTGTAAGGCAACYGTTGCACATTGAATAAAGTCATTCAATTCAAATAATCTTGCAACAGTTTCCTTTACTGTAAGAATACCAAACCATGTCATGTGACCATCTGCATGGTAGGCATAGAACTGGTTGCCATAGCAACAGATATCTGAGATCTCAGCTACAATAGGTGAATAGTACACTTATTAATTGCTGTAATATTTGTGTATTAGTAAAATTGAATGTTATGATATTACTGTTATTATTTCATTGTCATCATCATCATCATTATCATCAT